CCGACAGCCTGAAACGCAAAAAAACGCCGAGCGTGACATCAGATACATGGAAGGAGTAGTTGCGAGTGTGACATACGCGGAATCTAATCCGTCTATCGTATGTTTCTTTCTTTTTTTCTCATTCGACTACCCCTTTTCTAACGAGGCTTTTATCACGTTGCACGATTGTTGGATCTGTCGATCGACGATAAGACGCGCGGAGAATGAAGAGCGAAGGTAGAGGTTGAAATAACGTGCTCTCCAAGGATTAACCTTTTAGCTACGGCTGGACTTGCCGCGGTGATGAGACTGAGGGAACATTGGCAGCTGTACAGGCGAAGAGTAGATTTTAGGGAAGATGGAAATAAGTGAACGAAAGTTTAGATCGCAATAGCTGATCGTTTCGTGCATTTTTAATTACGTCAGTACCCTGAGTGATTTAAACATATGTACTGTCCGACAAACCTAAAGTGAAGCCTCTGACGTCACAGCCTAGCAAAATGGAGGCAAAATAGGCGGTTCAGGTCAGCCCCACTACTCTTGGGCCTTACGCTGCAGGCCCTTGCGAACTTAGGAAAACGAATTTAAGTCAGCTGTCGATAATGTAACACGCTGATAAAAGAACGGAAAACTAAAAATTATTTGGACGCCTTGCCCTCTTACCTACGTTGGCGCGTAAGACATATTTCACATCGATGGCACTTGTCATTCTTTGGTTCGTTCTTCATTTGTTTTACTCCAAAAATAAAACATGCACTGGTTTGGAAGCAATCGGGACAAGAATCACGCGTTCAGTGGCGTTACTCCGGCGGCGCGGTGCCCCGTTCAGTGGCGTCACTCCAGCGGAGCGGACTGCCGTAACGAAAGGTTTAAAGATTTGGGCTCATTTCATAGCAATAAACATAGCAATAATCGCTGCTAAAGTTTCAATTGCTGATTTGACACTGTTCCCACTCGTAGAATAATTTTGAAAAAATACCATTGGATTGCTTGAATTTTAACCTGTAAAATAAGCTTATCGAAATAATAGAGAAATTTTGGGAACATGGGATAAAAAAATTAAGTTTACCATGATGCACGTCGTTTGGCATCTGTTCGCCTGTTTATTTTTTTTCGAGCGCTTGAAAATATCACTCCGGTCAATTATCGACTGCACATCTGTTTACCGACTGCTCGAACGAGACCCGATCGTTGTCTATTGTTCATAGAAGAGTAAGTGCGATAGCCTTATTCTACCCCTATTGGCTTACTAACAGCGAGCCGTCGCAAGTTCCCCTACATCTCCTACTTTTAGGCCCTGAGTGACGTCAGAGACTTCACTTTCGGTTTGTCGGACAGGACATTTGTCATTCGAGTAAATGAAAAAATATAAAAGAGAGTGCATTGAATATAAAAAGGAAGGAATTTAAGTGTCGATTAGTAAATCTTTAGTTGTTAATACTGTTTACACGACGTGCCAATTTTACCCCGGTTAGCCCCTTAACCTATGATTTCTTTTCCTACTACGCATCTAAGCGTCGGCCATTTTCTGTTTTAGCACTGTGTCAGGTAAGAAAAACTAATCTGTCGCAAATTAATTACATTTAGCAATTCTCAGTGTTAAAAATTCAAACGAAAATTAGGATTACTATTCATTTTTCTTACTAATATAACTATTTTTCTCACATCTTCGCCAGAATCTCTGCCGCGAGTCTGACGCGTTGTCATATGTTAAGGGGTTAAGGTGGTTCTTAGCGGCAGCTAATTAACATGTATCACAGAAGGAAAAGGACAACATTTGACGAATTTTCACACTTGTAGCACAATCACAAAAGATGCGATGTTGTAATAGGACGCTTAAGGCAAATGTAACAATGTTCATTTTTATATTATACAACAAAACGTTACAAAAACCTGCCAATGTTCCCTCAATTCACGGTTTTGATGCGGAATGCGCGTAAATAATGCGAGATACTCTCCACTATGAAATTACATTAGAATAAAGATTGTAGATGAATAAATTATAATGTCGTATACCGACATTATTTGTTATTCCAAATCGTGCTGTAGATTTAAGCGTTAGTCTTCGATTCTCATTTCGTAAATACCCGAAATTTCGATAACCAATGTCTTCATTCTTTCCTCGCTACTCATCTTCGAAACTCGACCTCATCACCTAATTTTTCCCGCACTAACTTTGTTTCACCCCCGAATTCTGCTCTTGGTATACAAAACCTTTACAAATTTCAATTCCCGCTTCTCAAGATATCCGGTATACGTTTATATGAACTTTCTTTATTATTTCAGTCTACTGAATCCATCCCTCAAGTTATGCCCACATGTTTTGAACCACCCTGTGTTATACGTCCTTTCTCAAAAATCAGAGATTAGTCCTTTTATCGTTAAATTACCGCTCCGTTAAACTACCCAGTAGTCCGCTAACGATACTTAATTTTACTTTGTCAACGTGTCTCCGTTCCATGATACTTGCACGATTGTCACTTAATAAACAATTAGCACACTGTGAAATTACATCGAAATAGAGATTACAGACGAATAAATAATTATTTACACGCGAAAGCCACTATGACGGCATACCTATCGAAAAGATGACCGACACGAAAGCGGCTATAGCGGCGTTCAGTAGCCAAGAGGTTAAACACTGTGTCTCGATATATTTTTCTCCGTCTCGTTTTTACTCTTTTAATCGCCGCGACGACCACGGCGACGACTTTCTTTCCGGCCTTACTTTCATATCGAGATAAAAGCTCGTGGAAAAATTGGTGTCTCTTGCTGGCAAGAGGTCGTTGAACGATCGAAAGTTCAACACACTCTAGTTTTTCTTCGCTTTCTTTTTTTTCTCTCTCTCTCCGATAGAGATCGAATCTCGAGTTTGGATACTTACGTGTACAGCGGTGCTCGTGGTATCCGGCGAGGTCGCCGAGGCTAGCTGGTTCCGGTTCTCTATGACCGTCTTTATTTGCTCGAGCACCTGCAAACGAACCGCATACACACTCGCCAATTATCCACAATGCTACCCGTAATTATCGTTTCTGTAAACCCTGTGTCCCAGATTTCAACTCTGACGGCTCTATTAAAGCGGTAGTTAGGGGAAAAAAGCCTCTTTTCCGGCCACTTCCGTTTCAACCGACTTTCCTTCTTCTCTATTTTTCTCCCCCCGTCTCGTTGCTCGCTTCACTGGTTAAACTTTTAACCAACGGTCAAATGGAGCAGTAGCTTCGGATGCTTGATACATTGACAAACGAAGAGGCCGGAGGAAGAATGATTGCGTTTCGTTGGTAAATTCATTTTTAAGATACTCGGTAGAGTGTTCGGCTCGATGTTGTTTATGTAAACTGGTAAAAGAGAAAGTGGTGGGGAACGGAGCTGTGTCCTTCACGAAAATTCTCGATAACGCGCGAGGCTCCACGATACGGTGACCATTTTTAATGGGAAAACACGGAAGTAGCGTGCGTGGGAGAGAAAAAGAGTTGTTTCCTTGTGGATAGAGTCAGCGTTAGATAGAGTCGTCAGAGTTGCAGATAGAGCACAAGTGTTGGAGATAGACTGTTGCGTAGAGTGTTGTATAAGCCGTTTAAAAGTTGTCTGCGTTGTTTTAGAGTTGTAAGTGTCTTTTTATAGTTGTTGGGGTTCCATAATAGTTGCTTTAGCGTTGGAGATGGAGTGTTGTATAAGTTGTTTAAGAGCTGTCTCAATTGTTTTGGGATTGTTTTATATTGTTAAAGTTGTATATATAATAATTGTCTTAGCGTTGGGGATAGAGTGTTGTATGAGTTGTCTTAGAGTTGTAAATTGTATATAGTTGTTAGAGTTATATAATAATTGTCTTAACGTTGAGGATAGAGTGTTGCATAAAGTGTTGTATAAGTCGTTTAAAAGAGTTGTCTTATAGTTGTAAGTATCGTTTTACAGTTGTTACAGTTGTGTAACAGTTGTCCTAGTGTTGGAGATAGAGTGTTGTATAGAATGTCCTACGAGTTGTTCGAGGGTTGTCTTAGAGTTGTAAATTGTACATAGCTGTTAGAGTTGTATAACAATTGTCTTAACGTTGAGGATAGAGTGTTGCATAAAGTGTTGTATAAGTCGTTTAAGAGTTGTCTGCGTTGTCTTAGAGTTATAGTGTCTTTTTACAGTTGTTAGAGTTGTATAACAGTTGTCCTGACGTTGGAGATAGACTGTTGTATAAGTCGTTTAAAAGAGTTGTCTTATAGTTGTAAGTATCGTTTTACAGTTGTTACAGTTGTGTAACAGTTGTCCTAGTGTTGGAGATAGAGTGTTGTATAGAATGTCTTACGAGTTGTTCGAGGGATGTCTTAAAGTTGTAAATTGTACATAGCTGTTAGAGTTGTATAACAATTGTCTTAACGTTGAGGATAGAGTGTTGCATAAAGTGTTGTATAAGTCGTTTAAGAGTTGTCTGCGTTGTCTTAGAGTTAATGTCTTTTTACAGTTGTTAGAGTTGTATAACAGTTGTCCTGGCGTTGGAGATAGACTGTTGTATAAGTCGTTTAAAAGAGTTGTCTTACAGTTGTAAGTATCGTTTTACGAACCGCATACACACTCGCCAATTATCCACAATGCTACCCGTAATTATCGTTTCTGTAAACCCTGTGTCCCAGATTTCAACTCTGACGGCTCTATTAAAGCGGTAGTTAGGGGAAAAAAGCCTCTTTTCCGGCCACTTCCGTTTCAACCGACTTTCCTTCTTCTCTATTTTTCTCCCCCCGTCTCGTTGCTCGCTTCACTGGTTAAACTTTTAACCAACGGTCAAATGGAGCAGTGGCTTCGGATGCTTGATACATTGACAAACGAAGAGGCCGGAGGAAGAATGATTGCGTTTCGTTGGTAAATTCATTTTTAAGATACTCGGTAGAGTGTTCGGCTCGATGTTGTTTATGTAAACTGGTAAAAGAGAAAGTGGTGGGGAACGGAGCTGTGTCCTTCACGAAAATTCTCGATAACGCGCGAGGCTCCACGATACGGTGACCATTTTTAATGGGAAAACACGGAAGTAGCGTGCGTGGGAGAGAAAAAGAGTTGTTTCCTTGTGGATAGAGTCAGCGTTAGATAGAGTCGTCAGAGTTGCAGATAGAGCACAAGTGTTGGAGATAGACTGTTGCGTAGAGTGTTGTATAAGCCGTTTAAAAGTTGTCTGCGTTGTTTTAGAGTTGTAAGTGTCTTTTTATAGTTGTTGGGGTTCCATAATAGTTGCTTTAGCGTTGGAGATGGAGTGTTGTATAAGTTGTTTAAGAGCTGTCTCAATTGTTTTGGGATTGTTTTATATTGTTAAAGTTGTATATATAATAATTGTCTTAGCGTTGGGGATAGAGTGTTGTATGAGTTGTCTTAGAGTTGTGTAATAATTGTCTTAACGTTGGAGGTAGAGTGTTGTATGAGTCGTTTAAGAGCTGTCTGAGCTGTCTTAGAGTTGTCATTTTATAGTTGTTACAGTTGTGTAACAGTTGTCCTAGTGTTGGAGATAGAGTGTTGTATAGAATGTCCTACGAGTTGTTCGAGGGATGTCTTAGAGTTGTAAATTGTACATAGCTGTTAGAGTTGTATAACAATTGTCTTAACGTTGAGGATAGAGTGTTGCATAAAGTGTTGTATAAGTCGTTTAAGAGTTGTCTGCGTTGTCTTAGAGTTATAGTGTCTTTTTACAGTTGTTAGAGTTGTATAACAGTTGTCCTGACGTTGGAGATAGACTGTTGTATAAGTCGTTTAAAAGAGTTGTCTTATAGTTGTAAGTATCGTTTTACAGTTGTTACAGTTGTGTAACAGTTGTCCTAGTGTTGGAGATAGAGTGTTGTATAGAATGTCTTACGAGTTGTTCGAGGGATGTCTTAAAGTTGTAAATTGTACATAGCTGTTAGAGTTGTATAACAATTGTCTTAACGTTGAGGATAGAGTGTTGCATAAAGTGTTGTATAAGTCGTTTAAGAGTTGTCTGCGTTGTCTTAGAGTTAATGTCTTTTTACAGTTGTTAGAGTTGTATAACAGTTGTCCTGGCGTTGGAGATAGACTGTTGTATAAGTCGTTTAAAAGAGTTGTCTTATAGTTGTAAGTATCGTGTTACAGTTGTTACAGTTGCATAATAGTTGTGTTAGCGTTTGAGATAAAGTGTTGCATAGAATGTCGTATGAGTTGTTTGGGAGTTGTATATTGTTTAGTAGTTGAAGATAGAGTGTTGCATAGAGTGTTGTGTATGTCGTCTGAGAGTTGTAAATTGTTTTACAGTTGTTAGAGTTGTATAATAACAGTCTCGACGTTGAGAATAGAGTGTTGCATACGAGTCGTTTAAGAGTTGTCTTTCGTTGTCTTAGAGTAGTAAATTGTTTTATAGTTGCTAGAGTTGTATATACAATAATTGTCTTAGCATCGAAGATAGACTGTTGTAAGTCATTGAAGAGTTGTCCGAGTTGTCTCAACGTCGCGAGTTGTGTCAAAACACCATTACACTCACTTATCGTACTCCGTCAATTGTCGTTGCCGCGAAGAATCGTTACGACCGACACTCAACCGCTACAACATCTACGTGAATCATCGAATAATTACCCGAGGAGATATCCTGTGCCTCTGCACCACGTGCTGACTGTACTCCTTGTGCTCGATCTCGTGGCTCTTCCTCGTCTGTCTCCGCTGAAACGAACGAAAAGAAAAGAAACGTAGAACTACGTCACGCGAGAGAGGAGGAGGTCTCGTTCCAAACGTGTCACGTGATTTTTCACGAACGTGAAAACAATTCGCGACTTTCCTCGAGTATCAGAACGGAACACCGGCAGACGGCGTATTTTTTTCTTCGTTTCTTCTTCTCTTTCTTCCCCTCGCGGCGGGCGAAACGCGAGTAGAAAGGATCGAGTCGACCGCGACGTTTCTACGTTTCGGTCGCGAGGAGCTTCCCCGAGCGCAAAACGCTTGCTCGCTTTCGAACGAGATAGAGATCTTTGCTCGTGGGGCATGTAGATTCACAGCTGCGCGGCGAATTAACTCAGCCGAGATTCCTCCTCCGCGGAGATTCTCTTTCCGTTTCAATTCTACCCGGCGAAGATCCACCGCTTTCGCGTCATTTTTCACTCGACAACCCGGTAAATTCAGGCCTGAAGAGCATACACCTTTCTTTCACCAATTATGCAGATTATTTGCACGATCGGCGGAACGGTAGAATTTCCTACAAAAATTGCCATATTTTCTTTCTTTTTTAACGCTACGTTTGCGGAACGTACGATTTCCACGCATTTCGAATTTCACGAGGAAAATTAGAGAAACCGCTTACATTTCTCTCCTGCCACTTATGCTTGCTATAAATTTTATACACAATATCACGTAGTTTCGTAAAATAAGTCGTTTTTTAAAGCAAATCTGCGGTTTCGTTCACGCGTGATTTTAACGCATTTCGAATTTCACGAGGAAAATTAGAGAAACCGTTTACATTTCTCTCCTAATACTTATGCTTGCTATAAATTTTATAGGAATACAGTAGACTCCCGTATAACGCGTTGTGTGAATTGATGCCAACTTTTATTTTCTACGTTCTATCAAATAACAGTTTTTTTTTTAAATAAGTGGCATATATACGCTGTTGAGTTAAAAGAACATATTACTAATGTACGCAATAAAGAAACAACGAAGAAAAAACCGAAACAATCGTGTGGTGCGTCACAGCGTTGAGGGTTGATGTTGGCAACGAATAAATGACGCTTACTTCTCGAGTCCTTTAAATGCTCGTTGAAGTAGTTTTGTATTTAGTGGACTGTACACTTGATTGAAAAATGAAACACCACACTTTATGTCTTAAACCTTGTATATTAAAAATATGTGTTGTGTGGCTGTCTGTGTATCTACTTGTACGTTTGCTTGTTGTCTCTAGTTGCATCTGCTCTAAGGGTGGCTGCGTATGCTGTCTTATAACCTTAGTGTCTGTTTCTGATTTCTTTTAAGTTGTGCAGGAAGTGGTTCAAGTGTGTCGATTGGTCTCTGGTGTTTTCGGGGGCGATGGTGTTGTCGAAGGAGTAGGGAAATTGTTACTTTGGGGTACAGTAACGGTATTCTGGTCGCCAGGTAGCTTTAGCGCGAGTGGTGTCCAGATGTGCGAGTTTTCGTCTTCGATTTTTGGACACGTCGTGAAGTCATTGTCCTATGGTCTTTTCAAAACTGTTTGGCCGTTTATGACCGAACAATTTTGAAACAAGAATTCGGAAAGGACGAAGAAAACAGTGCAACGCTCAACTAAATTAGATTTAATTTTTAAATGCGGAGAACTCCTGTATTTTGTTATTACATTTGGCGCGTTGGACGAGGAAACGCGTTTTTCCGAAAACAGTAGTCGCAGAATCTCTCGCGCGTTATAGAAACTCGCGTTGTACGGGAGTCTACTCTATACAATATTGTTTTTAAATAAAATAAGCTGTCTTTTAAGTAAATTTCACGCGTGTCCGTAGACATTAGGTACACAAAAAGTCTCCATAAACCCAGTGTCAAAGAGGAAGCAGGATTTTCCCAAGATATCCTTCAAACTCATCGAAATACTCCGTTAATCTCTGGATAACCGAGAAAGGATCTCCCAAGGAGCTCCGCAAAAGCGAGTACACGACGACAATTAGCTAACAAAGCTGAACTCGACGAGTTGTAAACGGTCTCTCGGTCGGAATCTCGGCCCGATCGCTGTTGCAACACGACAATGGATCATTTGTCCGCCAGGCTGCATCATGATCTAGCGCACGCCTCCGCTCTGATATTGCGAAAAAGTGTGCAGAACAACCAGCACCGGCTATGGAAAGCACACACGAGCAGTCTCGTTCTCTACTCTCGACCAACTCACCGAGGATTTTCGCTTTTCCACTCGAGAACAACGTCGTCACGCTTCCCTTATGAATAATTCGAGCAAGTTCTCGCGTTTACCAGCTTGATTTCGGCGCGAAGTTCACGGTTGAACGCGACGAGAATCCACGGTAAACGAGCTCTCTGTCCTGGTTTCCATACGACCAAAGAAAAAGAGGTAATTGCGCTATTTCTCTCTCTCCCTCTTTCTCTTGCGTAAATCGGTAAATCATGGGAAATTTAAATACGCGGCGGTTTAAGGATGGTCTGTGTTAAACGAAGAGTCAGTCACGCCGTGAGATCGCGCGTCGAGGAAATTGGAAGACGAGTCACGAGCCGATCCTGGACATGTGTAACCGCCTTAACTCGATTCACGCGTGCTTAGAATGCCTGTCTCGGCATTACGCTCATTGGATAACGAGAATCACGCCTCCTCCGCGCCTCTGTTTATCATTCTCCGCTGAAGCCACGGGAATTACATCAATCACGGTGAATAAACCACTGTGCGATTCCTTTCCGCCGGAGAACTGATTTCTTCTGAGATTTAATTAGAAAAATCGTTCTATCCTTTTGGCTATCAAGGAGTCACTTTTGGTATGATAAGAATTGTATGGAAACTTGTGTATTGACATTTTCGGTACTTTTTTGCACATTTTTTTCACTTAAAATATTTGATCTTCGCGGTAGAAGATTTTAACATCCTGCTAGATCCATGTTTGCTTCAATTTCGAATTTTCTTACCGGAAAACTGCTAAAATTGGACCCTTTAACCCTTCGACAGTTTATATCTCGATTTTATTTAGAGGGATTATCCACATTTTATTGATTTTTGTTCTAAATACAGTAAATTCTCCACAAGTGTCAGTTCGGATTCTACAAGTGTCAGTATAGATGGTCCTACGCCTAGGTCTGCGCAGAGGGATTATCCACATTTTATTGATTTTTGTTCTAAATACAGTAAATTCTCCACAAGTGTCAGACAGTTCGGATTCTACAAGTGTCAGTATAGATGGTCTTACGCCTAGGTCTGCGCCATTGCTGTGCCCATGTTATCTCGCTCGCTGTCAGTCAAGCGTGTAACGCTACACCACTTGGTTTCTTTTACGATAATAGAAAAATATAATTTCTTTAATTTTACTTTTCTTCATCTGAAATTTTTTTTAATATGTTGCTGAGATTTTTCTGATGAAAATGATATCAAACACGATATAATTTGTCCCGCCATTATTAACACGTTCACTGTCTGGCGTGACATGTTGTTCAAATTATGTCGTGTTTAATGTCATTTTCATCAGAAAAATCTCATCAATATGTTAAGAAAAATTTCGGGATAAAAAACGTAAAATTAAAAAAGTTGGTATTTAAATCGCTTGGTTGCCTCGACTCACGTTTCATCCTTATTCACTGTCCTTGTCTACGTTCGGCAAACTACAAAGGCGGGCGTGAAACTCGAAAACGTAGTCCCTGACTCTACAAGTGTCAGGTTTAGCTTCCTTGCGGACTGACACTTGTGGAGAATTTACTGTAATTCGTTTGGCAATTGATAAAGCAGTAGAAGCATAGTCTATCTCAACAAACGGATCCCTTTTTTATTATATCTAACAATAATTACCTTCCCGGTTTGCACGAAAATAGTGGAAGTCAGAAAATTATCGAGTAAGATAATTACATATACGCTTGATTTTCCAGGCAAAATGGCATTATTAGCTTAAGTAGCTTAATACAACTATACAGAGGCTTGCATAAAAAAGATTTAACTTTCGTTCGTACTCCTGAATTTTACACGAGTTTTACTTTAACCCTCGATATCTAGAAATCGCCTTTTCTCACTTACACCACTTTTGCTTTTAAGTACGTCGTATGGGCAAAGTGGGATCGCTTTGTTTAATCTATCCGTCGCGTCGTATCGCTTAATTCGTCTCGTTTCCGACGAAACGAAAAAGAAATCCAAAAACAAAAAGAAGAAAAAAATGAAAACGAATAAGGAAAGATACACGGTATTATTGTGAAGAATGCAACATTCTAATTATTAGAATATCTTTAGAAATAACTGTGAAACACAGGTAAAACATGCTCTTTTCGTATTTTTATCATAAACAGAAGCAATACTGATTATAAAAAAAGTCGAACACTTTTTGACCGCTTTTTGTTATTTTAACAAACAGCGAAAGAGTTAAGCGGCTCAACTCGCGGGAGACTTTTAGGAAGGAAGTCAGAAAGGGTCGAGACGTTATTGTTAAAACTGTGACGTGGGGTTGTGTGTACACTATCTTTAGAAATAACTGTGAAACACAGGTAAAACATGCTCTTTTCGTATTTTTATCATAAACAGAAGCAATACTGATTATAAAAAAAGTCGAACACTTTTTGACCGCTTTTTGTTATTTTAACGAACAGCGAAAGGGTTAAGCGGCTCAACTCGCGGGAGACTTTTAGGAAGGAAGTCGGAAAGGGTCGAGACGTTATTGTTAAAACTGTGACGTGGGGTTATGTGTACACCGTGCTTTAAGAATAATCACACATGACGTAATTATTAACCCTTTGCACTCCTCGCAATTTTTAACGATCTACCAGAAACTCTGAATCATTTTTACTATGGGCTACCAGCTACTCCGAGACAATTTACAACGGTGCGAGTGCGCCTCTGTGGAAGTTTCAAAATCTAGCTTGTCTTTTTCTTTACGTAGTGATTCCAAACTTCTGGCCAGTAGTGTATATATCGAATGTAACAGTAGAGGCCTCTATGAAAAAACGAAGAACATTTTAATTTAAATGTAAGAATCAATCGCGCCGAAAATTACTCCAACCTTTTTCTATTCACCGTCTTCCGTTAGAGCGTGGAATAGACTGTTGCTTCTATGTCACTGCAGCGACAATGGAGCTGTTCGGAGCTGACAATGGAGTGCAAAGGGATAAAAAGATGCGTGTAAAATCTAAAAATCTAAATCAGACTCCTTCCAGTCTCCTTCATTTTGTAAGAAGCAAAGGATCCTCGACGTTCCTTAGGCTTAGCAGGTAATACGTAAATAAAGAAGGTACCAACCTCGAGGGTAGCCAGGCTGGCCAATGACGAGAGAGGTCGAGTGTGAGGAACCTCCCCTGGGAAAACGCTGTCGTGGGACACGGACAATTTTCCTGGGCCGCCTCGCAGCTTCGCGAACGAATCCTCCATTCCTGTCCTCCTGAGGAACACGCTGGAAAACAGAAGGCGAAGCACGGTCATTGCAAGAGGAAGATACGTTCTTGTTCGCCAGAAAGGTGAAAAAAGCAGCGTTTCAGTCGTCGAGTTAGCGACCTTTTCAGCCTACCGGAATATTACCTACAGCCGCGACTAGCAAAATGGCAACTGGTTTTTTTCGCGGGACGTTACGTCGGCGGTCTGTCACTAGAGCGGCTCAAAAGGTGTCGAAGATCGAGGGAATTAATCCGTGGTGAAACAGCTGGCCGACATGTCGGCAATCGAATTACGAAAATAAGGGACAGTAGGTCAGGAAGGTATCGAGCCGCGTGTATAGTCGACGGAAGAAATACAGCGAGCTGGTGGAATCGATCGGCAGCCGATGTGAACGTGTTTCGAGGGTTTTAACGAGGGAATCGAGAGAAATGTGAGATGAGGAGGGATTCAACCCTCGGTTAAGGCTGTATTATGTATTCGTCGCGTTCGCAGAGGCTTTGTCGTTCTTTAGATTCTTCTAGCGGCCTTCGTTTTCAACCGTATTGTGCTGCAATTTTTACTAGAGACTTTATTCACTCTTTATTTCGTTCTGTGTCAGTTCCATTCAGTTCTCAAATATTTACTTTTAATTTTATTGATTAACAGTATTCGTTAAAATGAAAATTTATAAAACTATTAACGAGATTTTTATTAAAATAAAAGTATTCAGTCCTTAAAACTCCACTAGCCAATTGCTCTACGTTGGTCGCACAGCTTCACGACACGTCAGGACACGGAAAGGAGCCTCAAATATTAAAAACGCCAATTAGCACGAAATACCGTTTAGTCATCAGTTGTCGTCCTTTTCTTGCACGCATTCCAAAACAGAATGCTGTACATGATCCCGACTGTGGCCAGATCGTGCAACGCCGCCACTTGATGCTTTAATTCCCCCCCCCGCCATATTTCTTCCACCGACTATACACGCGTCTTTACAATCTACACGCGCGACGCCATCGCGATCTTTCGTACCGTTAATGTAAGCAGAAAAGCAAAACTCGAGCGGCGCTAAACGAGGCCAAGGATGTTGACTCGCGACAAACTTCTCTTCCTGACACTGTCCAGTTTCTTACGAAATACTGCTTCGATTCGTATCGTTATCACGAGCGAGACTAGCTTATGTTTTACATACAGACCAAAAAAACAAAAAAAGTAGAGTAAGGAGACATTGAAATATTCGGTATCAGGTGACTAGCGAATCTTACGAAGGTGGTAATAAAAAGAGAGGCGAAAAGCTGCGAAGAGCGATAATGTGTAAAAATTGTATACTAATTAAAAGGGGTGGGAAAAAAGGAAAAAGGTACGAATGAAGCATCATCGTTCTCGGTAGATATTTACTGTTTGAAAGATCGGCGCGACTTGGAGGACGACTTCAGCCTGCACCTTTTCGACTTGCGCGTATTTTGCCCGCTGAAACGGTAACAATAGGATACAACCCGACTCTAGGCTTCACTCTGTCTTCGGTTCCGGCTGCCTTCCAGATAAAGGATGACAAATGGCCGCGTTAACCCTTTGCGCTCAGGCTACCGTTTGTTCTCCAGTACCAGGAGACCATTACAGGCTAAGTCCACACCGTTTACAGTTTCTGCAATTACTTAGTAAATTGTGGGGTTTCGTTCAACCCACTGTCTAGCCCGGAAACCAAGCTTCCCTTAACCATATCGACACTATCGGCCAAAAATTTTCAATCGTTCGTTCACTTGTGTAGTGATCCATACCAATTTAGAGGAATTTCTTCGATCCGCGAATTTATATTACTTTACCGAGTAATTTATGCAATACTGAATTTTGAAGCATTTATTCATTTGTGGTGATACCGAATCTGGTGCTGATATTTTATAGATTTGCAATTAACGGCGCATGGATTAATAGTAACTTGTACCAATTTATACTAATTTCTTTGATCCGCGAATTTGTACATATTTATATTAATTTATAGCAAGTAATTTATTCGACACCAACATTTTACGGACGTGCAATTAACAGTGCGTGCATCAATAATTACTTCGATGTGGTAGATTTGCAAATTTCGAACCATTTTCTGAAAACTTTTGCATAGCATGCAATGCATGTGTGTTTTTGATACTTTTGACCGACCGTGTGTCTTGAAGCTACTTATCCATTAGTTCTTAATACACAGAGAACTGTTGGAGACTTATGCTGAGCTTAACGATATTAGTATTCTTATAATACGTACATTAGTATTGTTGGTTATGCCTAAAAGGTTAATAGACCTTATTATAAAAAGAATAGATCCTCTGAAAAATTTTGTTTCATTTTTTAACAAGACCAAAAATGTGATCCTAGTGCACGAGCTAGAATTTTCAATCTCAACTAAATTTGAACCTTGAGCGCAGAGGATTAACCCTTCACCTTACGATTGTTTCAGTGCACACATAAAGGGTTAACAGATCTTACTATTATACAAAGAACAGGTTCTCTCAAAACTTTGTTTCATTTCTTAACAGGATGAAAAATGTGATAAATTTGCAATCTCAACTAAATTTGAACCTTGAATGCAGAAGATTGACCCTTCACCTTACGATTGTTTCAGTGCACACATAAAGGGTTAACAGATCTTACTACTATATTAGGTTGTCCGGAAATAAGTTGCGGTTTTCTGTTGTATTTAGGGCTTTTCTATACTATATATTTTAAATTTATGTTTATCAAGTAATATACCGTTTGAATGTTGACGTCGCTCTATCATATAAGCGATACACTTTTCTTTTTTACCGTCGTTTGTTCCGAGTATAACTTAAAAACGTAACAACGGACAAGAAGCAAATTCGTACCGTATTTTTATAGGAATTTAAATTAGGACGTAAAGCCGCGGAAACTGGCCGCAATATCGATCGTGTATTCGATGAAAGCACAACTGATGATTATAACGCATCAAAAGTTAGTTAGTTATTAAATCGTAAGGGACCAATACTCCTACGCGATAACGCCCGCCCGCACGTATCACGATTCACGATTCGGTTATGAAACATTAAAACACCCTCCTTATTTTTTTAAACATTTCGCTAACTTTCTGCGAGAAAAAATCTTCCGCAATAAAGAGGATGCTGTAAATACCTTCGTGGAATTTATTCATCCTAGAACTCCTGATTTTTATTGTAACGGAATAGGAACCCTTGTAAAACGTTGGAAAAAGTGTATAGAATCTAATGGAAATTATTTCGATTGAATAAATTCATTCTAAGCAAAACTACACGTCTTTAAATCTCATGTACAGAAACCGCAATTTATTTCCGGACAACCTAATACTAAGAACAGGTTCTTTCAGAAATTTTCTCATTTCTTAACAGGACCAAAAATGTTATATACAGTGGACTCCGGTTAATTGGGACACATTTCTCCCAAAAAAGCGAATTTCAACAGGCAAAATCTGAACAACGTAAAAAATGAAGCCAAAAACGATTTATTGAACAAACAAAGCTAACTACATTCCGTTCTTCGGTATCTGTCCGAAATAAACGGTGGTCCCAATTAACCGGCATCCACTGTATTTGCAATCTTAACTTTTAAACATTGAGCGCAGACGAGTAAACTCTTCACCTTGCAATTCTTTTAGTGCACACATAAAGGGTTAACAGATCTTATTACAAAGAGCATTTTCTTTCAAAAATTTTCTCGTTTCTTAACAGGATGAAAAATAAGAGAAATTTGCAATTGTGGCGACCGCCACGTGGGGGCCACGCACTTAGGCCTGGCGACTCTTGGCCCTCGAGGCGAAGAATCGAGAGATGTTTTTCTTCGTCCTCGAGGACAAGAGTATTGCCTCGGCAATGCTGGCCCGCGCCCCCACTTCCTGGGACTTTCCCAGGGAAAAGGGGCTACTTAAGGCAGCCCCGAAAAAGGCAGGAGGCCTTTTGTCGCAGACTCGCGTCGCCTACGCTTCAAAATTAGGTTAAGCGTTATCGGATTCAAATAAATATATTTTTATTAAAGAACTTGCGCGAGTAATTACTTTACACCACGTCACTTCCAAACAATCTCAACTAAATTTAAACCTTTCGTCCAGAGGATTAACCCTTCGCCATAAAATTCTTCCACCGCACGCACACATTAACCCTTCCGACCCGACGGCGTTTGCAGTAGTTCGCTTCCTACGGCCGACGTGAAATTTAATAGTCCGTTCACGACGGCCGACTTGAGATTGAGCCCTAAACATATCGAACTGTTTATAAAGTACACCTATCCCCCGATTTACACGATTTCACTTTTACACGGTTTTCAAAATAACGGCTTTTCAGAAATATAAACTGTTAAAAATAAAAGTGGTACAGTCATTTTTTAGTACCGTTCGTTTGTTAACACTGGCATTAAACCAAAAAATGAACGGAATTTCCCCCTTTTTTGCACACAAAAAGCATTCATTTGCTGCCGCCGCGAATTTTTCATTGGCGACCGGCTATTTTCGCCTTCGTCGATCGCTCGCTCGAAACCAAACCCTGGCCCTGAATATTTCTTCTTTTTCATTTTTATTTTGTTTTTATTTTACATTTAAAATAATGAATTTAATTCAATCACTGACTAAATTATGCGCATTTTCTTTTTTCCCCGATTTACACGGTTTTTCATACAAAAAGCTATTCTGAGGCACCGATCATCAGTGTAAATCGGGGGACAGGTGTATTTGAGTCTTTGACAATATTGCGATTTTAATATACCATACTGAATAATTAAGAACATTCTCAGTCGGGTCGGAAGGGTTAACAATTCCCTATTCACACCACCGAAACGTCCTGTAGAATTTATAAAAGCACACTCCACCAGAAACAAAGTATAAAACGAAACAAGAAGCAAAGAAGGTATAGAAAACTCACCTCTCTCGATCACAGGAGTCTGTGAGGAGCTCGCTAGCGCTTCTGCTTCTCGCCTCCTCGGGACGTCCCGCGGGATGTTTATCGGTGATATCCTCCCTCGGGAGTCGAACAAGCTCCGCGTCACGGTCGGCATTGCTAGACACCAGTCTTGCATCCGCTGCGCCCCTGCTCTTCCGCCGGAAGATCTTCCTCAAGCCGCGTAGGGGATGAAAACGTCGCTTCTTCGGCTCTGCAGACACGAGAAATCACAAAGCGTCCCGGTTAAACGTGCGAACGTTGAAGGCCAATTAGCCAAGCCGATCTTGCGTGAACTTTCTCCATGGGATTGCGCAACTGTTGCCGCGATGTTTGCCAGCGGATCCAACCTGAACCCGCCTATCAACGGGAAGTGAAAACACGCCGCGGTTCGATCGGGAGAAACGAACCCTCGCGGCACGCGCGCTGAGTTTCTCTCGATTAGAAACCGACGATTACTGTACTTCGCTTCATTTTTTCCTCCACTCCTCTTTCCCCATGAAATTGTTCGAGATTAGGAGAATTTCAAATCCGTCTTAACTCGCTTCCACCGACACGCAGATATACCTACACAACACTTTCAGCTATTCGTTTTATCGAATATGCTAAAGTAAACACAGGTCTAATTATCTTCTAATTGAATTGCTGGTGCTACATAGTTGGACAAATCGATCGGAACGAAGCAGATAATCGCGAAGAGACGTCACACTCGACGATCGATATTTATCTCGCAGATAATAGGCCTAAAGGCGACGATAGTATTTTTACAGTCATCGTTCGATAAATCACACACCGAGAAAAAAAAGGAGAACTTCGTTCCTACTTGGTCGTGTGTCGATCTAGAGAAAATTTCCAGGGAAATCCCTCGAAATTTCCCTCCTTTCCAAAGGGATGGAAAACCTGGCCCACATATTCCTCTCTTCTTTATACTCACAGGTTCGTGAAGAACACACGGTGTTACGTGGAAGCTGAAAGAAATCTCGGCGGTGTTTCCCACGAATCCCGAGTTCAAGGCGGGAAAACAACAATGCCAGGTTATCAGAAGCAGCGAGCTAGACGACGCGAGGCAGGGGTGCGGGATAAGCAAATAATACGAGTGCTCGAGGGCCACGTAGCACTCGTTAACGCGCGGGGACGCCTTTTAATTGCGGGCTACCGGAAGAAAGGCCGGCGACAAAGAGGCGTGCCAAGGTGAAAGAGGGGAAGAAAATCGGAGGGTCGGTTGCACCGGCGCGAAGCGACCGTCGACCGACGCTTTGAATCGTCGAAAAGACGAGAAAGCAAGAAGAATGGGATCAGAAGTGGAGGGTGCGATTCAGAGGGTATCAACGACACCCTTCGTTCGTCCTTAGTCACGATTAAAGGGCCCGAGGAACGCGCCAGGAAACCGCACCGTCGTCTAACCTCTCTACGAGACTCTGTAAAACCACCCTACTTTTTCCCCTTTTTTTTCTTTCTAGCTTTCTTCCAACGAACCACCCCACTCGACAACCACCCGTGCTCTATCGAGTCGCGCAATTTCGCTTCGATCCGCCGCGGGAACGTTCTTTCTCCTCGTGCGTGGAAGAAATCGAGGCTTCGAATTTAGGCGAACGTATGTACGTACAGTCTCGATATTTCACTTTCACCGGAGTCGCTACTCGACGAATGCGAGTAAACAGAAAACAGGTGATCTTCGTACAACGCGATATTTTCGGGTGAATAATGGCTAGGCTGGAAAATTTGGGTGTCAATAGAAACTTCACTATTTGCGGTCGTATTTTCCGTAGGTAGGGAGGAAGTATTTTTTGGTAGCGCGTGATCGGTCAATTATTGCCTGAAGAATGTTGTAAATTTTTGTAAAATGAGTTTGTTTAAGCTGTGCGTATATTTTTCCCCCGTTTCTGCAGGGAACATTCCGAGGTTCGACTGCAAACAGTTAGCAAGTAAAGTGTCTTTTCTTTTAATTTTTGTAAGTAAGAAGCTTTCATTCTGTGTGTATTATCGTTCGTGTGGAAATATTCGAGTTGTACGAGGGTTACCTGTGTATAGACGATATTGCACGTTACCGAAGAAGTCGACGTAGAGTTCCCCATAGTCTAACATGCCTATGTGAACGTTCCACGGAGATCACGTAAATCGCGTATACTGCATACATCTGAGACTGACTTGACGATTTGATAACGCAAGAACACCGATGCTGATAAGATTACAGTGCTGTCGCGAGATAACTCTATCGGTTGATATGGAAGAAATCTACCGACACTGATAATTTCCCTTTTCTAAACCTCTTTCGCAACGTTTACTTATCTTTCCTTCAATAATAACACACCACACCTGTCGCTCTTTAATACGTCAAATTCTCGCGCGCTTTTTTTTCCTTTTTCATTCATAAACGCCACTCTGAAATAATCGATCTAACCCTTTCACGGTGAAGAATTTAAATACGTAACATGTGTGGCAGACTAAATTTTTAATCAAGGGTATAAAACTTGTTGTTTTGGTCGTATAATTTTAAAATTCGGTTTATCAAATTGAGATGGAAATTAAATATTAAATTAAGATGGAAGTGCACCACAATAGGCGCCAATAGCAATGAAACGGTTAAAAGGTGTACCTTGCAGGTATAGTCGGTGGAAGAAATATAGATTGGGACTGAATAGAAATAGGTCTAATTGTAAGACCCGAAACGTAGGTAGCTTTAGGTAAATATTTAAGTTTCGAACACCATGACTGATCTCTCTAAAGTGTCTCTGAACGAGAAGACTGTCCTAGGCGAGAGAAGGAGTAAGAGAAGGAGCGTATTTAGGTAAGGGCGTACAGTCGGTGGAAGCGACATAGCGAGGTGTGAAGTCAGCGAGGACTCAAAATATAGCAATTCGATGGAGATAAGGAGCACGAACCTCCCTCAGGAAATGAAAAAAATTTGTCCACACCTTAATCATTGACAATTGCAACGTAATTTTTTACCAATAAAAATTACTATTGAGCAGAAGAAAAATACAATGCGGGAGAGAAAACTATCTCTCGTTCGATGACAATTACCTCGAAGCATATTTAAAAAATTTGTTTGCACCTTAATCAATGACAATTGCAACGTAATTTTTTACCAATACGAAAATTACTATTGAGCAGAAGAAAAATACAATGCGAGAAAGAAAACTATCTCTCGTTTGATGACAATTACCTCGATGCATATTTAAAAAATTTGTCTGCACCTTAATCATTGACAATTACAAATTAATTTTACTACTGAACAGCAGGCGACAAATAAAAAACTGTAAGCAAAAATTTTAAAAATCAATTTACAAACGACAGACATCAATCGGTGTCACCACTTAGTCTTTAATTTACGACCTCGCTATATCGCTTCCACCGACTATACCAAGCGTCAGGCACAAGATATATTTATACCTGCTCTTTAAAGAATCACCTTGCCTCGATTCGCGAGCCTCTTACACTAAAGCCTACTTCATGCGTCCCTGATCGATGCTCCATGCCCTTATCTTCCCAGGTTTCCGTCGATATGTTCCAACTTTCACGCTCGACATTTTCGCCGCCACCCGAAATCGAAAAGAGGCACACCGTGTGCCGTCGATACGTAATCTCATCCAGGTACGGATGCACACACGTCGTCTCCGCGTTCTACCACAGTCTGCTACAGTCATCTATCGCACAGCAACAGCATCGAATTTTGCCGTGACCAACTGAGACACTCTGTCGACACTGGCACTCGAGATACCGCATTCCCGGACGCATACGGTGCGTCCGTGACAGCCACAATGCTAAACCGATCTCACGACCTCGCTATATTTCTTCCACCGGCTATACGTAAACGTTACATCGAAGAAAAACCGAAATAAAACGCTAGAATAAATAAAAACTATAAGAATTGTCGTGCAATTCAGCGTTATCTGTTAACGTTTTAACTTTCCCGCAAGCGTTCACCTACGTCGAATTTCCGTCACAGTGAAACGCGCGTCGATCAAAAGCGTTATCACCGCGAATGCTTCCACGGTGAGTTTCTCTCTCGACGATTACGCGACACTTTGCGCTACCATCACCCAACACTGTTGTCTCTTTTTCTGTACGCTTTCACAGGTCTGTGCACGCGACGAGCCGTTCTTTTTTCTTTTTTTCCACGGCTGGGCACGAAAGTCGCGGCCAGATAGTATCTATGATAATTGGAAATTCTATAATTCCTCGTAAGCTCCGCGGTGTGGAGTAACTTAATACGCGGTGTTCGAGTGGCCATTCATTCCGCGATTGGCCATGGCCTGGTTTCGCCGTCTTTCTGCAAATAGCAACGTGTATGCTCTTGCTCAATCGCCGCCGCTAAGCATTGCGCCTTTCTTCGCCAAAATTCGACCGTACGCGTCCGTTTGATCGCGCTCTAAAACGAGTTATGCTCGAAAATAGAACGGGGAAAAAGAATAGAATCGTTCGAACCGGATCGGATATAGGGGAGAGACGGGGAAACAAAAACGTGGGGTAATTGCGAATTCGCAAATATACGGTGTTAGAGAAGCACGAAGAATTCCTCCTTTTGCCAGGTGACCAAACACTATCGAAGATTTTTCCTCGTCTTCGTCTAATGTTTTGAAGAAAGTGAAGTAAGTGTAGCTTTTGCATGTACAATTGTCTCAATACTCAATAATGTCAAATTTTGTAAAAAATAAGCAGCGTTCATGGTTACCCCACGACAATTAGGGAAACATCAACAGCAACGGTTTGGTTTTTCTATTAAAATTTGCTTGTGTTTTGAAATTTTCTTAAAGTTCGTTATAAAAATCTGTGTTTGTATATAGGTAACGTTGGATATTTCGTCCTCGAGTGCACGTTTGACGTGCTACGATGAAAAATGAATCAACACGTAGAGAAGGGATACCCTGGACAGAGTCTGCAGTTCTGGGTAGGAAAGAGGATCTTTTGTTTAGAAAAAGTCAGAGCAGATATTTTTCTGACCTTACTTTCTTTTCTTATTCTTGTCGCGTGACTCGCACACTTCGAACGTTTTCTCCAGTAAATCTCCACTGTTCGTTCAAAATAAGAATAACCTCGCTCTCGGACCGATTCTCGTCCGTTCTGCGCATAGACAGAGAGCGTAGCAGAGGGTAAGACGGAGAAAAACGTAGGCGGTTTGGACGTTCTACCCCTGCCTTAGGCACGTCCCATGCGCGAAACGAGGTTACTCTAATTTTGAACAGAGTACACTCGTAAAGTGTGTCTTATACTTTCACATTTAAGTTTGAATTAGCAGCTGAATTCTTCTGTAAACAGTTGTAGTTTTAATTTCTAATTTATTTTCTCTTTAAAGTTAGCTTTAGATGCAGCTTAACTATACTTTGTACTTTATGCACATTTTTTCATATAATTTCCAGTATTAAGTGTATTTTGTATATTCAAATGATTAGTAAACAAACTTTCAGCAGTGATAATAATAGCTAAATTTTTCTGTGAACAATTATAATTTCATTTTTCTAATTTGTTTTCTCTTTAAAGTTAGCTTTAGATG